ATACACACGCACGACACATACACACTCACACACACACATACATACACACACAAACACACGCTCACATATACGCACAAACACACACACACACACAGACATACACACACATATACACACACGCGCACATACACACACCCGATATACCGTCTATTAAGTTAAACGTCTGCAGCAAGCCATCACCTTTTGCTGTTCTAGAGCAGTAATTTGTAATGGTCTCACTCTGTCGCACGCTAATGCACGCAGAGAACATGACTTTGAATACGTTTTAAGAAATTACAATTATTATTTTTTTGGTCATTGGTTGTTGGGTTTTTTAAAAACCCTATCCGTACATCGTGTTTTACTGTCGTATCCACACGACTTGGGGAACTCTGTGCCACCACTTTCCAAAGAGGATTTACTCGTTAATCCGATCCGTACGCTTTGCATAGCAGTCTGTCAAAATAATTTTTTGAGAAATACCGAGGGGTTTAAAAGAGATCTTCGTACTAGAAGTATTCTAATAAGTGAAGAATACAACCTCGGGGGGTACGAAATGACCCCATGGTGTACGGATAGGGTTAATGGAGTATCCCATTCCGTCTGCTGAGATGCTGTACTTCGGTGAAATGTATGGTATTGATTTAACGCCCCTATAAACTCTATTAGGTTATTTAAGGGGCGGGACCTCCTAGTTTAACGTCCGTCTCCGATAGGACTTTGCTCAGCCTTGGTTAACCCTGACGGACAGAGTAGTCGAAGAAAAGGAAGCATCCTAAGTTATCTAAACTGAGTCTATGAGTACGTGTAACATAATTTACCATAATTTCTTTAATTAAAGCCATGGTACTATCCAAAAAAGCATCAAATCCTAGTTGTAATCTCAGTAGCAAAGGTGAAAAGATCAAACAAGTCCAACAGTTTAAATATCTAGGATATATGAAAACATCTGATGCCAAATGTTCCACAGAAATAAAAAGGAGAACTGCACTGGCTAAGGCTATTTTGAATAAAATGAGCCCAATCTTGAAAAATAGAAACATCTCAATGAACACCAAAATGAAAGCCCTGAAATGCTATGTCTGGTCAACCCTTTTATATGGCTGTGAATGCTGGACAATCACTAAAGACAGTGAAAATAAAATAGAAGCAACAGAAATGTGGTTTCTTAGGAGACTGCTAAGAGTATCGTGGAAGGAAAAGAAATCAAATGAGGTAGTGCTTGATGAAGCCCACGCGGGACGCTCAATGTTAAAAACAATCAGGAAACGACAAATGCGGTTATCGGGATACCGGAATAGACATAAGGGTCTTGAACATCTAGCTCTCATCGGCAAAATTGAGGGCAAGCGAGGCAGGGGTAGGCCCAGAACAACATACTTAAGGAATCTAAACAAATGGGTAGCAGGGAAAGATCAGGGAAACGTAGCTTTTTTTAGAGCATCCGAGCAAAGGAATGAATGGAAAACCATGATCGCCGATGTCTGTCACAGATCTGGCACCACTGGATGATGACGATGAAAGCCATGAAGCTGGACAGTGCGCTGCCTGTCCGTCCATTTGTGCTGCCTGTACTTGGTCGGGTTCTGTGGTGCTGACGACACTGTCGCTGCAGCCGTTTGTCATCGCGTCTGTTGGCTCTGGTTTCCCTGTTCCCGTTGTGGTCGGACCGGTCGGTGTCGCCGGAACTTCAACAGGAGAACGTCCCACTGAGGGGCGGGGATCACGCAACTAATTGATAGTATACATTTTACATATTATTATTATTATTATTATTATTATTATTATTATTACTATTATTATCATTATTATTATTATTATTATTATTATTATTATTATTATTATTATTATTATTATTATTATTATTATTATTATTATCATTATTATTATTATTATTATTATTATTATTATTATTATCATTATTATTATTATCATTATTATAATTATTATTATTATTATTATTATTATTATTATTATCATTATTATCATCATTATTATTATTATTATTATTATTATTATTATTATTATTATTATTATTAATATTATTATGCATGTTTCTGTTGGTCATAGTGATGATTTGTTTTAATGTTTATTATGTGTGTGTGTTTGTGTGTTGTGTTTGTGTGTGTTTTTATGTTTGCTTGTGTGTGTGTGTCTTCATGTGCATGCGTGTGTGCGTGTTTACGTAATAGGCAGAGAGAGAGAGAGAGAGAGAGAGAGAGAGAGAGAGAGAGACAGAGAGAGAGAGAGAGAGAGAGAGAGAGAGAGAGAGAGAGAACGAGAGAGAAGGGGGAGGAGGGAGAGGAAAGAGATAGAGAAAGCCAGCCAGTCAGACAGACAGACAGACAGACATACGGACAGAGAGAGACAGAGAGAGTGAGAAGACGGCAGACAATACGAAACAACGACAGGTGAAACATCCCTTCCAAACTCAACTTTTTAAAAAGTCTTCGTCTAAAACCTGTAAATCTGTTCTTTCACGAAAAAACATGGAAGATCGTGTTTAGAGTGTTGGCATATTATATTATGCCTAGTAAGTTTGTCTCTTGAGCAGTTTGGCTAGTCTTAATTTGATTGGCTTTTTGCACACTGTTAGGCTGAGATTTTGAGACAACTTCACTTCATTTTGTTAATTCAAGCTCACACATTGGACCCAGCAAGTTGTGTAGAAAATACTTCCACTGAGTTTAGTTTGTATTTGTGGATTCTGATATTTAACACCTATCTCGACAAAATTTTACACAGGGGGGGGGGGGGGGCTATTTTGTCTGTGCCTGTCAGGGCCAACCCGGACTGAGAGAGATTCTACACCCCAGGAGAAAGACTGACATGATGTACGCGTTGACAATTCTCCCCATGCGGAAATCGTACCGAGGGTCTCCTGCGTGTGACAGCAAAGCCCCTAACCGCTATACCACAGACGCTGGTTCAAGTATCTCCATCTTTTCCACTGGTTTGTTTTAGTAAACGTTTTACAGCACACAATTAGATCACATAAGTGCCGAAGATCAGAGATGTTACAAGAGAGAAACAACCATAAAAAAGAAGGAGGAGAGATAAAGACGATAGCTGTTTGATAGGGAAGAATGAGCAGACCACACCAGGGCACCCGCCAACCACCACAATTCTTCTGGTATGCTGTACCTTACTCAGCCCAATTGGCTCTGATAGACCGGGTGGTTGGATGGTGCCTCCGGCTGGTTTTACTTCTTTCCTTTTACTCTGTCTTTTCTGCTTCTCAACAATTATAGTTGGCTCCTGACTCGTGTGGAGAGGAGAGTAAAATGTTTACGAAATCCTTTTTGTTTGTTTGTTTTTGTTTTGATAAGTGTTTTTACGGCGCTCGTAACTGCATAAGGTCATATGAGCGCGCGGGACACACCTAATATTTTCAGTTGGTAGGAAATTTTGAATTTTGCCCGGGTGGCTGCCGAAGCCTACTCTTATCGATTTTAGACCGCCAAGGGATCTTTAACGTGCGCAACTTGCACACGGGCCCTCCGAGATTTTTCGCCCTTGTCCGAGAAGGCTAGGTGTAGATCTTTCCTACCAGAAGATCAGGGGTGTGGCAGAAAGACAGCAGTTAGGAGGAGCCAAGGAGTAGCAGTAGAAAGGCTGCAGAAAGAGTCAGGAGCCCAGAGGAGGGGGCAAAGGAGGTGAGGGGGTGGGGGCAGAAAGTGGAAACTAAAGCAGACAACAGAACATTGCTAGAGAGCAGGAAAAGAGGTGAAAGGAGACAATTTTAGAGAGGAAAATTGTTCGGTTACTACCCGGATTCGAACCCGGGACCTTTGAATGAGAGGCCAACACCTTACCCTCTAGGCCACGAGAACCCCCACAAAATCCTTTGACTCAATTTCATTTGATTTGATTGAGCAGAAGTTTTACGGTGCTATCGACACATATCTTATCATATAAGCGTCAAAAATTATTATACTGCCACAAGCCTGGTTATTAATCAAAACGACAAATGAATATTTATAAAAGTCTTTGTAATCATGGTAATTACTATGCTTGAAGCTAATCATCATTATCATTAAGTACCAGATTTGAAACAGACATCAACGATCATGGTTCTCCATTCAACTCCAGAAAAAAGACCAATAAAAACAAAATAAAAACATTATTATGCAGGTCCATCTCCGTCACCAGCATGTTGATAGGAAACAGTGACATTTACTTAATTAGTCGGGGGTAACCTGAATATGAACTGAGAGGCGTGCAGTACGGTGAAAACTGTCCACCCTTTCGGAGCCACATGATTACATTCGTAGAGTATCTCTGAATAAAACCGTAGATGAAGCTTTGAGGATCCTAATTGAGGCGTCTTTATTGCCTAAGCGTGTGTGTATTCTTCCTTTGTTCTTTCTATGTAACGACATTTGTTGTAGGTGAGGAATCATCTTCTTTGAAACTCATTTGGTTAACTGCTTCCAGTTTGTTGTCAAAAGACACGAGTCGTTTAACAGGCCTTTTTGTAAATTCTGAGTGCGTTTATAGCGAGCGAGCTTTTGCTATTAACAGTTCCTTCATCATAAAAAGTCAGCCCGTCAACTCAGGGATTTTATTACAGATACCTTTATCAAACTTCAGATATTCTGTCCACTAAACGGATTTTTGTTCATACGCAGAATCTATGTAGAGGTTTTTGTTCCGGTAACTTGCTCGCTGTACTTTAAACAAATGAAACGCCACGAGGAGAACAGATTATTATTCGTGAAATTGTCGATGCAGCAATTCCTTTCTCAAGCCGTTTTTTAAACTGACAAAGTAACGTTTGGTGTTTGTTGATGTGAGGACATGAAAGCGTGGCGAAAGGTTTGCCTATTCCTTTTCTCGTCCCTTGAGAGGTCAGTGGATAATGTTTAATCAGAAAAACGGCTGGGAGTGTAAGTAGCTTGTTTTATTTTTTTAAACTGTAACTAACTTTGGTTCCTTATTATTGTATATCAGTTTCACTGGTTGTTATTCATATATATATATATATGTGTTAATTTATTCAATAGTTTATTTACCTATTTATCATTAATTATCAATCTGTAGAATTGATTTGTATACTTTTTTCTCTTTAGTATACGTCCATTAAGTTAGTTTGTTGGTAGTTACGTTTTTGTTTTGTTTTTCTATTGACTTGTGAATTATAATATTGATGTATTCATAATACATTCTTCTATTCCTTTTTATTCTTTTAATCAGCTCTTTAGCAAATTTTCTGAAAATTCCCCGAAAGTCATTACGTCATTTGCCTTCCTCTGTTGTTGGGAGAGGCCACTTGTACTTGTTTTCTATCCTCTATTTCCTTTTGTCCGTTTATCTCGCTGCTTCCCACCACCAAAGAGCCGTTATCGCGTGCGCGTTCTTCTCTCTCCTCCGATTTATTTCTCTAATTGCTTAGTGTCTTTTGTCAAAGGTACATGAAGCACTTACAGTGGTGTTGTTAAGCTTAGCGTGTAATTGTAAGAACAAGGTCAACTCTTTCTTTTATTCTGAAACTATTGTTGGTGTCAAATTGGGGGGTCCCTCCTTAATAAAGATCAAGAGTCAGTGTGCACTACAAATGGTATGAGTGTAACATATAGGCCTACATAAGTAATTGTAGTACATAAGTAGTAGGAATAAAAGGATATATTATTATTTTACTCACATAGTGAAAATCTAGAAGTGTGTTTTTGGTACTAAAAATTAATGTTCTATGAACTACCGAATTTCTCATTTATGCAAAGAGCAAATTGCTTTATTTTGAGCTGCGCTGAATTTGGTAACTGCTTCTGTATTCTTGAATAAATGCGTATTAAACAATCATTTCATTTTTATACTGACTGTGTATGTGTGTGTGTGTGTGTGTGTGTGTATGTGTGTTTGTGTGTGTGTGTGTGTGTATGTATGTGTGTGTGTGTGTGTGTGTGTGTGTGCGTGGATTACAGCAACCCTATTTTTGCAAACCTCTCGAACATCACTTTTTCTAAAGATACAGCGCTTTTAAATCACAAACTGCGATAATCGTATCAACACAGAGGAAAAAGAACGACCATCCACATTAAAAAGCAACCAACAACTGCCATCGGCCCCCAACAACATCTGGAACTTCTTACAAGATGGCTGTCCTCTGACATAAATGTGTTAACAATAAAACCCCTCGTTTAAGCAGACTTACTGAAAAGTATGTTCCACCAAGACCTCTAAGATCAGGGGATAAGTCTTTTATCAGACCGTCAAGGAAGGGAGGCCAACTTTCGACGATACCCTTTTCTCATCTGTTTTTGTTTTGAGAAGTGTTTTACGGTGCTTGCAACTGCATAAGGTCAGATGAGCACTTTAGTGGAATTAATTTTGAATTTTGCATTGGTGGCGTCGAAGCCTACTATTATTTTTCGATTTGGGACCACCAAGGAACCTTTAACATGCGCAACTTGCACACATCTCATCTAGCTCCATCTAAATTCTGGAACTCGCCCCCACGACAGTTAAGGAATACAAAGTTGGAGGCAAAATTTTGAAAAGAAACAGAACTTATGAAACGCCATCTCGATAGTTAGTGCTTCTTATTCACAATGTTCATCAGATGATTTTCATTCAGGAATACAGAGAGAGAGTTACCAAATTATGCGCAGCCCAAAATAAAGCACTTAATTGCTTTTTGCATAAATAAGAAATTCGGTGGTTCTTAGAACATTTTTACTTTTAAAAAACACACCTCCGGATTGTTCACTTTGTGAGTAAAATATATTCTTTTATTCCTATTACTTATGTACTACATTTATTTTTGTAGGTCTATATGTTACGCTCATACCATTGACTGTGCTGTGATAATATTATGAATATCTGCGTTTGTGTCAGTGTTAATCTACAGAGAGTATTTTATGTACGCATGTTCATTGACATAATGTGCGGTTTGTGTTGAGATGCACGTATTGTAAAGCGCTATAAGAGTTGTATTGTACTGGAGAGGACGCTATAGAAATTGTCTGCATTATAACAATAATAATAATATTAATAATAATAATAATAATAATAATAATAATAATAATAATAATAATAATAATGATACTACTACTACTACTACTACTACTACTACTACTACTACTACTACTACTACTACTACTACTACTACTACTACTACTACTACTACTACTACTACTATTACTACTACTACTACTACTACTACTACTACTACTACTACCACTACCACTACCACTACCACTACCACTACCACTACCACTACCACTACTACTACTACTACTACTACTACTACTACTACTACTACTACTACTACTACTACTACTACTACTACTACTACTACTCCTGCTGCTGCTGCTGCTGCTGCTGCTGCTGCTGCTGCTGCTGCTGCTGCTGCTGCTACTGCTACTACTACTACTACTACTACTGCTACTGCTACTGCTACTGCTACTGCTACTGCTACTGCTACTGCTACTGCTACTACTACTACTACTACTACTACTACTACTACTACTACTACTACAAATGATCACACACAACATTCACTGATATTGTGTTAAACACACGTCTTTAGACATTTTTTACACTTTGTTTTTTTCTCTCCCTTGCCCTCAAAAAGCGCGCTCACCCATTAGATGTGCATAGCATCTCAAGAGGTACTCACGTATTTTTTCTTATTGATTACGGCCCAAGGACCTTACAACAAAATGTGCAGTCTGTGCACTAGTGATAGCGAGCAATTAGCCCTCGAGGTATCACACTAAGTGTGGGAGCATATGTGAGGCAGCGTGGTGAAATGAGGCGCTCGTCAAAATAATGAAATTGAGGAAACTGGCATTTTTCTGTTCATTTTGTAATTTTTATTTTATTTTTATTTTTTGACGCAGCATCTTTTAGGTCCTTCTAAAATCACCTATGTGGATATTACTGAAAAATGTTGATTTAAGACACTGTATATAGATATGCATTTTCCAAAGACTCTCAAGCTTTGCAAGTCGCCAAACTTTGGCGGCCAATTTCTCACTAACGTTACCTCTGAAACAGACGACCCCCACCTCCTTCAATCGCAAATATCTCTACTTCTATTCATGATATATGTGTAGTTTCTTCTCCGAAAGTGAGACAAATGAAAAAGCTTTAAAATGATACCAATAAATCCACATGTCAAAAAAACTGACGAGCGTCTGATTCCACCAAGTCGTGGCACATATGATGTTGGGATCCAATCTCTTGATGGTCATTAAAAGATAAGATTGGGCATTTCAAAAAAGTTTTCTTGGTTTATACACACAACTCTTTTATCATATTTTTTTATCGAAGTTCTTGTCTCTTAAATAGCTTTATTTGATAAAAGGGGTTATACAGCTTTAAGAATCTATCTATCTATCTATCTATCTATCTATCTATCTATCTATCTATCTATCTATCTATCTATCTATCTATCTATCTATCTGTCTCAACCACACACACAAACTCACGAACAACACAAACACCCAAAAGCACATATCTGTATACATAAGAAATTGATTTCGAAAGAGAGCTTTAAAAAAACAACTCACTATAACACTGGTCGTAAGTTATATTTACCGTCCCATTTTAATGATAGTTATTTCTAAACATTCATTCATTCATTCTTTCATATGTTCATTCATTCCTTCATTCATCTATTTTAAAAAATACATTTCATTAATTGAGTTATTTGTCTTTTTTAGATACAAATTGACCATTCTTGCGTCGTTGAAGTTTCTTTTCCGCAAAATCGCACAGAGTAGAGGGTTGATTAAAACACACGATCTCCGCATGTTTATTTGGCGAGGCGTAAAGTTTCAAGAGGGGCTTCGCCTGATAAATAAACAGGTCTGTGAGGAAAGGGGACACAAAATCTCAACTCACTTCAGAACAGCATGGGGGTAAGAGAGCGGAGGCTGCGCTTAGTGCTGCTATTCTTGTTGCTTTATTTATGTTTTTGTTTTGGTTTTTGTGGCCTTTCTCTAGTTCTTCCATGACCTTCTTCTGTAACAAGATACACATGTCCGTGTTTCGTAGAAGAAATCTTGAAAAATCTTCTTAGACGAATTAATCAAATCTGGTTCTTGAGGCGGGAGATGAATAGCTTGAAAGAAAAACAGATAGATCTAGATATCAATTCCCAGATTTCCACAGCCCGATAATAAAGGGGCCATCTGGTTTAGATGGGCGGGGTCTGGCGTTGTCGTGACGTGGATAGTGTGCTGGTTGACCTGAGTTAGGAACTTGGAGAGAGAGAAAGAGACAGAGAGAG